CAGTAAAAAATTTCTCCTCGGTTCCTAAGGATGTGTTTTCTATGCTATTTTAAAGAAGCCTAATTATTACACAGAGGATGTTTTTGTCTTTAACTTTTAGAACACTAATGAAATCACTGTTGAAGAGGTTTAATAAAAATTATTTGAGCTTCGGTTAGAGTCATTACAAATTTATAAAAATGGAAAACTATGAATCACTTCTCCCCCTCAAAAAAAAAAAAGTTATTTTGGTTTGTGTTTTATAGATGAACTTGAGCCAAAGATCTGTGTGTTGCATGTAAATAGTATTTGTTTAGACTATTTTCAAAACCAGACATGTCAAGTTTACCTCAGTGCATGATTTCTGTTGAGGAGGTGTTTGTTGAAGATTAAATGAGAGCTGTGTTCCAGAGGTAGATAATACCTGGTTTATGCTGATAAATCAGCTGAATGGCTGAACTTTAGCCAATAAATCTAGATTTAATTTGCAGAGTGGAGGGGGAGTAAAAAACTTTATTTGTTTAGTTACTTAATATCATGGTTAAATTTTATTTTATTTACCATTGATTCAGGTAATACGCTTGATTAAGAAGCATTAAATATCAGGTTTTATAGTGAACTCAGCTTTATTTGTTACGAAGACAATGTTCTATGCCTGTAGGTCGAAATCACTGTTCTAGATAACAGTGCGAAAACTAACTTTTGTTGAAAGATACTGATGACAGCTGAATCTTTTTTCAGGACTCAAAATTTAATTCAGGGATTCTCTGCTCGTGCGATTTAGCTGCAGAAATCCTTTGACAAGGGCATGTTACCCTAGTTTTGCAGCTGAGTTTGATGACATTAGAAAGAGAACTGTCTAATAAGTGAAATTAGGAAACAGCACTTTCTGCACCTCTTTGCTGGCTTGCGTATAGTTACTGTGCAGAATCCCTTTGCTAGGCAGAATTTCGGACTACAGATCAGTTTTGTGTCAGGAGCAGGATCTGTGACCAGCCCCATAGTCAGAGAATAGTTAAAGGCATTTCAATTCTTGAACAATTAAGTGCAGCGTCTGTGCAGAATTTTCCTTGGAGAGGTGTAATTAAGATTTCTCTGGAAGATCTGCTTGGTTGCAGTCTCATCAGCTAATTATGAGATGAGAGAGTTATTGGGTAATTTCAAATGATCTTTCATCATTACAGACATGCAACTTAGGAAATCTAGGTTCTCTTCCCACCTCTGGCACTTATTTCCAGCTGTGACAGCAGTCACATCATTAATGTTGTTACGGATGTGTCCTCTTCCAACCATAGCTCTGACAACTGGAGAAGCTCTTGTCCCCAGCCTGCCTTGCTTGCGCATTGCCATCTCCGTAGATCTGCAGACTGCACAGCTTCTGCTCTTTCTTCATGGTAAATTTGAATAAACCAGAGTTCAGTGTGTATAGACTGCACTTTAACTCTGATTTAGCTGCACATCTGCGCCTTTAAACTCGTACATCCTGAGATTCTCATCTGGAAAATAGTTCTCCTTGCTTTTCATCAGCTGAGTCCGAGGTGTTCCCTGATAGAAGTGCTCCTGCAGTTACACTTTAGTTCTGTGGAGGTCTTTGCTCTTAATAATAGAAATGGCACTGACCTCATCAACTCTCAGGTGCTGAGTAGTTGCCTTAAAAGAGCATATAAATACTTAGGAAGAAATTCAGCAATACCCTAGTCACTGAAGTTTTGCATGCATCTTCTAATAAGAGTGGCATGGAGATTAGTATTTATCACCATCAGAAGACTGCCAGTCGCTTTCTTTACTTTCTCTGTTTTTTCCCTACTTTACATCTGTTTGGTTTGGCGTGGAATTTTTTCAGGCTGTAGAATGACTTTCCAAAGTGAGGATATCTGGCATTTTGCAAGTGCCAGACATTTTCTGAGAGAGAAAAGAGCTGTGTACCTAGTCTTACTAACGAAACACATTTTTTTCTTTGCTTGCAAAACACTCATTGTGGCATCTTCTGGATTGTTTTACAGATGATGTGTCACTTATGAGAGATATCCAGAATGTTTCTACTACAGACATTGTTCTCTCTTTTTTAAATTTTCTGTCAGCATTTAACAGGTGCATTTTTTTCATGTTACTCGTGTGCTCATATTTCTTTTCTTAAAGTCGTGAACAGTTCCTCTCTTTGTTTTTGCCATCCTATATATTTCTCCTGTCCTTTCCCATATCTACTCGTCGACTCCCTGTTCCACTCTTATCTTTAAACAAGCTTTCACACTGGAGCGTGTGACCAGAGCAGCCTTCCACTGCTTGTCATCTAAAGTTTATTCTCCTTCAAATCTCTTTGAAAAATCTCCTTTCCTTTCTTTCTCCCTTCTTTCTTCTGGTCATCTTTTTTTCTGAAGTAGAATGTTTTTGCAGTAATGATGCCAAATACAAAAAAGGGTGTGTTGGAGAGAATTTCCTTATTAACCCTTTACTTTAAAATGACACCATCCTGAATGTGAATACCCTGTGCCCTGTGTTAAGAGGTATTAATGGATTAAAGAAAATTCTTGATTGACTATTACCAACCATTTTTTATGTAGCACATTGTGCTTCCTGTTCATCATCCTTTCTACTTAAATAGTGCATCTTTTGTCGGAGTTCTGTAAAGTGTCAGTTTTTGACACTAATCAAGGTCTGAGCCTGATTTTACAAGTGGAGCCACACAACTGCAAAGGTAGTTTCCTCACCTCCAGAAGTGGAAGTGGTAATGCCCTTTCCACCTGCTTCATCAGTCGCTCTTTCACTTGGCGTCAAAGAACCAGGGGACTGTGTATACAGTGCAGGGTTGGTTCTAAGATTAGCAGCATGTGATGCTCGTGCTGAAGTTCACTGCTTCCCAGATGCAAATCATTGATTCCCGGTCAAACAGTTGCAAATTTAATTTCACTAGTTTGTTCCCTGTCTTCAAGCTTTTTCTTTCTTTTCAGTCATTTCTTGGCCTCTTATTACTGGTTTACTGTCTTGCTTGTGTTTTGCCATCACCTGCTTCTCCAGGTTGGAAGGTTAGAGCTAGGAGGGTTCTGGTGAGTCATGTAGCCTCAGGAAAGGTTCAATTAAAGACAGACTTGAATGACCTAGATATAAGCCCTTGTGTTACAGAGACATTGCAACCTTCCCACATGACTAACTTTGGTTTTTAATTATTCCTTTCCATAAGAAAGGATTTTTGTTTGTTTTTCCAACGTCTAAACTAAGTTTTCCTAGCTTGCAGCTTAAGCCTGCTTCTGTTCTTCGTCCTTCAGATTACCCCTTTTCTTGGTGGAGCAGTCTTTTATATATTGGAAGCAGTGCTAGTAGATCCCAAGTTCACTCTCCTCTAGGCTAAGTAACTGTAATGGGTTTGCTTTTTGCTTCTTAGATTGTCCAGCCTTGTGTTATATGCCACATTTTCAGGATCTCTTCTGGCTCATGTTCCACTCCTGGATGCTCTCCAGGTGGTTCACAGTGCTTCAACTGTGGCTCCCACTTCTCTGGCCTCCTTGATACTGGAGGCCATTTTCTCAATGGGGTGACCTTACTGACTCACGTTCAGCCTGCGATCAGCTATAGCCTTTTTATTTTTTTATTTTTTTATTTTTTTTTTTGTTACAGAACTCTTATATGGGCTTTTAATCTCTTTTTGTAGATGCAGTTAATTGTGTCTGGCTGCTATATCTTTCAGCCTTCCATGCATCTGTTTGGTCAAGATGATTTTGAATTTTTTTCTTCTTATTTGGTGTTCTTGCAGTCCTGAGTGTCATCTGCAAATTTAACCCCTGTATTCCCCTTCCCCTCACAGAGGCAGTTGGTGGAAATACTGACCATTAGATGGGAAACAGGGCTTTGGTTCCAAGGGATCTCACTCAGATCTTCATAGAATCATGGAATATCAGGATGGAAGGGGCCTCAAAGATCAGCTGGTTCAATCTTTCTTGGGAAAATCACGGTCTTAGCGAGATGACCTGTCTGGCTGAATCTTAAAGTGTCGAGTGTTGAGGAATCCACCGCTTCCCTAGGCAGATGATGCCAGTGGCTGATTGTTGTCAGTGTGAAAAACTTTGCTCTTGTGTCAGAATCTCTGCAGGAGTAACTTTTACCCATTGCCCTTTGTCATTTACATGTGACTCCTTGTAGAATAGGGGGTCTCCACCTTCTCTGTAGCTACCCATTAAATACTGCAACATGACTTGTTCTATTTTGGCAGGAAACTATTGCCACGTATTTCTGAGTAACCTTTTTTGTGTGAGTTTGCTTTTAGTGTCACTACTATTCATGCATGGATTGGTGGTGATGGCAGAAATCACATTTGAGGTTAGACAAAATGTTAGTATGTGGAGATAGAATTTGTGTGGGAAAATAGTATTGTCTAGTCAGATACATATGCTTTTGTTTTTAAGCTGGGAGAAATCACGTTTGAGGTTAGACAAAATGTTAGTATGGAGATAGAATTTGTGTGGGAAAATAGTATTGTCTAGTCAGATACATATGCTTTTGTTTTTAAGCTGGGAAGAATCTTCTCAAATTCTAGTTATCTCAGTATACTAGTGTGACTTGTTTGTTTTGACCTTTTACTTTTTGTAGAATCATAGAATGCTTTGGACTGGAAGGGATCTTTAGAGGTCATCTAGGGTTATCATGAGTGTGGCTGTGATGTGTGGTAATATATATATATTTTCATCTCCATTTCTGTTTCTTCTAAGTTTCGCAGGGCTTCCAGTTTGCATCATAGCAAGTATTCTCTATCCTTTTGAGAATTAGGATGTTTTTCTTTCAGTTCCCAGAATGAATACACAACCTCAAAATTGAGATTTTGGGTTTTTTCTGCGGTTTCTGGAAAATTCTCTGGACACAACAAACTTTAATTTACACGTTAATTTTGTTTCCCGTTGAAGAGCCACTATTTTAAAACTGCTGCTTGATATCTGAATACCATTTTTCAGCATAAAGATGGCAATTTTACAAAACTACAGTTAATAAAGTAGCCTTTCTTGATAATCCTTTATTTTGCATTTTAGGGTTTTGACCCACCACATCAAAGCGATACAAGAACTATTTATATAGCAAATCGTTTTCCCCAGCATGGCCATTATGTTCCTCAGAAGTTTGCGGACAACAGAATCATATCATCCAAGGTAAGGAATCAATTTGTCAAGGGAAAACAAACTGATACATTGCTTCAGAAGTTGTGTAGCGAATGTGCGTGTCTGTATTGTGCCTAATCGTGCATACACGGTATTCAAAATGAAACAAGCTCTAAACTTTTTTGAGGAAAAAGCTGGGGTGCTTCCTATGTAGTTATTATCGTGCTCTCATCCCTCTTTCCTCAGGACCCAAGTACAGAACAATTAAGCAACTTGGTCAGATTTTCTGAAGAAAAATAGGTTTTAAACTAATCTTGCCTGTGTTTGGATGTGATGCCCAGAACCACTTAAAAGGAAGGATGAAGCTGGTTGTGGGGGTTAATAAAACGGCCAAGTCGTAAGCTAGTACTCTGCGTAAAATAAATCAGCAATGGACTGCAGTTGCAGATTCCCTCCTAGTGTGACCTTGGATTGGAATCAGTAGAACTGGTGGTGGGGATGTGTCTTTTTGCTGTAGTGTAGGAGGAAAAGCTGCAAGAATTAATTCTTTCTCTGCCACCCAGGATGCAAACAGCCAAACGCCTCCAGCTGCTCCTACCCCAGTTGGTAGGAGAACGTTGAAAACTTTGACTGCAATGGCACTGCAGTTGCTACCCCTGCTTCCCTGCTAGTTGTACTTAAAAAAAAAAAAAACGGGTACAGCAGTTCTGTGTGGGAGTAAGGCAAGACCAGAACAATGTTTGAGGGAGGTGAGACAAAAAATGAAAAGATTTAGGTTAAGAGAGTTTTTAATGGGAGTGGAACTGAATTTCACTGAAAATTTGTTGAGTATGGCATAACTCTTTTTCTCTGTCTTCTTTTTTTCTCTTCAGTATACGGTGTGGAATTTTGTTCCAAAAAACTTGTTTGAGCAGTTCAGAAGAGTAGCCAACTTTTATTTTCTGATTATATTTTTGGTTCAGGTAAGTTAAATAATGCTAAAGAAATTGAAATTTATGTTGTAAATTCTGCCACTGATTTTTGTTCTATCAATTTAATTCTCTACTTTTGTATTCTGTCTATAAAAACAATGCCTTTCCAGTTTCTCTGGGAAAAATAACATGACTTTAAAAAGAATTATATCCAAATTTAAGTTCTGTCCTTAGGTTTTTTTAAGTGTGCAGCTTCAAAGTCCATTGCACTGCTAGCATATGGAGTTTGTTTTCTCTCTCAAAATGCAATTTTAAATCTGTTAAGTTAGTAATAAAATTCCAGATATGCTTTTTGATTTTTTGTGGACATTGGTGGTGTGTGAATAAACCAGGAGTTTTACTCCGTGTGCCTTTAAGTGCTTCTTGGACACTGTGTGCAGAAACGCAGAAATGCAAGATCGGTTAGTGCTGCTGTTGATACAGTATGGGTCGGAAATACTACTGGGGCTTTTGTAGCAGAGTGTAAAATCCTCTAATTAAGAACATCTGCAACTATATTATGGCAGTCTGAAATTTTCTGTGATCTTTGCACCCCTGACTCTGTAATTGTACTTCAATTCTGTCCCACTGTTGCAGACACAGATGAAGGATAAGTGGGGAAAAATGTTGTTAGGTTTTGAAAGACCAATTAATATCTGGGGCAGAGATAACTTTGTGTATCCCCAAAATCTTTTCTTTCATTGTAGAATAGAATGCTTTGAACACGTACAGTCCTTCACAGAGTTTAACCAACGTTTAGAGTATGCATCTGAAAAAGATGGTACCTCATTAGACTAAAAACAGGAATAGTGAGGAGTTCATAAGATTTGTCTGTGAATTGTGCAAGATGTCAGTAGTAGGGCCAGTTCTGCAGTTTAGAATCCATTGCCTCCTGTGTCCCTTGCTCTTGTCCTTTCAGGTTTAGAAAGGATTAACTTTCTAATAGGCTGAAAATTCTTGTGCTAGAAGTTAATAAAGTCCTGTAGTTCTAACTTAATCTGATGTTTAATGCTGTTTAAAATATTGTAGCATGAGGAAGATGGGGGCGTTACCTACAGTAACAACAGCCAGGTGTTGCATTTTTTTTAAAGCTTTTATTTCTTTTTAATGCAAATTTACCTCTTTAGTTAGATTTTGAGTCACATTCCTTTCAAACTGTTAGACTTCAGTGATATCTAAATGTGATGCCCATGAGCAAATACAGATCTGAAGGCAGAACTTCTATTCAGAGTGTAATCCTGTTCTCTCAGTTCGTGACTGAAGTGGATGCCCTAATTTTTGTGAGAAATGTCTTGTCTATATGTCTGTATTCTTGGAAACTAAACAGGAGAAAAGCTGCAGTCGTTTCTGTTCATTTGGATTTCTGTCTTTATTCAAATTCCATTTTGGAAGTTCATTAATATCTAGTCGTTCTTTTTTTCTTTTCAAAAGGCAAAGGTGCCTTTAAAAGATGATCACCATGATATCTTCTCTGTCATAGGAATCTCGTGTGACCAAGATGCAGTGTCTGTCATTACTACCTTCTTCCACTGGGGATGACAGAGACTCGGTCAAGTTCTCGTGTGATTTAAACATGCAGCACAATCCAGTCCACATTGTTCACCACCCATATGCATGCCAGGAACGTGGTGACGGGCTGCATTTTGGTCGCGTGAGGCTCCACACCAGCTGTGTGGTGGATGTCTGTCCAGCTGGCTGTCAGGCAAAGGGCCATGGTGTTCTGGCAAAAGTAGCAGGCTGCCATGACAATTCCACCAGCACCAGACTTACTCCATTTTCACATATGAGCCTCTCTTGAGAAAGCAGAAGAGAGTGTATGAGGGCAGAAATGTCATGGTTAGCCATATCCAGCCAAAAGTCAGATGCTTTTGGCATGGGTTTTATTGAACAACATGCTGCTGAGCTAAAATTGCAATGCTGCTGTTGAAGAGCAGACAATTATGGCAGAGATCTGATTTTTGTTGCATTCTATGAATTGTCTGTGTTTCAGTGGAGGGAAAACAAAAAAGGGGAAAAGCTCATGAATGTGTTTTAAGGTGACGTAATCTGTTTTCTCTATGAGTTTCTTGGCTCTTAACAGAGTAAACTTCATGTATGATTATTTTTTTTTCTTCTTTAATGGTTCCCAAAGCAATGCCATAAATCTCAGGTAAAGTGGATCGGATCAGTGTCTGTGGTTTTGAATAGTCCTTGTGTATATTTTCTTTCAACACTTGATTGTGCTGATTTTTTTCCCTGCAGCAGAGGAGAACCACTAACATCCCCCCCACGTCGGAATTTTAGTGTATACACTGCACTTGTGGCATGCTAGCAATAATAGCACATATTGTTAAAACTGCATGTTAACTTGGGGGAACCAGAGAGGAGCTAAGAAACAGTGTTCTTCATTATCTAAATTACTATTTTTAACTTTATTTTCACTTCTGAAATGGTTGCTATTCTTATGCTACATTGCTGTTGAACAGTCGATTTTAGAGTATTGAAATGTAATGTAGATGTCCTTCCTTTGTAACGTACTTTTGAATTAGTCTTTTTAGGATGAAAACGTATTTTCCTTTTACTAAGGACTCTTAAAATTGGCACATGAATTACAAAGGTGATTAAGATTGTTCTATGCCCTAGAACCTTTGTATCATTGTTCACCTGGTGTTATATAGGTGTCAGGAACTGAGTTTTGCTCCAGAAGTACTGCAGAAAAGTACTATAAAAATGCAGGTTATAATGAGGCATTTGGAAAACTGTTGTCAGCTTGCTTCATTGGGGTTTTTTTGCAAGTACAACTGTTAAAATTAAGCTGAGGCTAATTTTTCATAATTTCTTCTCTTTTAGCTCATGATAGATACCCCTACCAGTCCTATTACCAGTGGATTGCCATTATTCTTTGTCATAACTGTGACAGCCATAAAACAGGTAAGGGGGGAAAGTCTTACAGCATGAAATCTAAGGTGAAGTTACCTTACAGTAACCTCACTTACCTTACCAAGTCTGACCAAGATGATGTTTGATCCTAAAAATAAATAAAAAGGGGGCATTTTTAGAAAGTGTTTTGTGTTTAATGTTTCTTGTTAGATGCTTGAACTTGAGCGGTTTTGGTTAGTTGTCAAGGGCTCAGTGACTCACTGTGGTACCCTTAAATGGACGGTGAGTGACTGTCAGACAGGATTTTTGTCTAAACATTGCATGTCACTCGTTATAAGACCTTTTCTGAAAGCTCCTCACTTATTCCTTTGGCACACCTCGCTGCGTATTAAAACCAATCCTGCCACATGACACGCTGAGAAAGGAGCTGGGGTAGATGAAGGAATGGTGCAATCCGTGTTTGTCAGTAGTTAAAAGGCAAATTTTGCCACAAGGAGTATATTTCATGCCATAAAATACATGTTAACTGTGATTCTGTACCAGGTAAAAGGTCCAGTTTAGAAATTTTCTGATTTTTGCTTTCTTTTTCTTTGATTGCATAAAACATTTTGAAGTGCTTTATAGCACTTGAAATAAGAAAAATCTTCTGAGTTTAATAAACATCTTGTTCAAGCACCATGCTACATCCTACTAAAACCTAGATCTCCTGGAAGGAGAATATTAAAAGAAGAAAAAGAAAAAAATCTTCTGTGTGCTTTAAACCCTTAATGCAGGAGGAGAAAGAAACAAGCACATAAATAAAGAGGTGATGTGGATGGAAACTATAATCTCTTGTGCAGGGAGGTAATTTTCAGCAGCTATCCCCTTCAAAGGGTTTGACAGTGCTGTCTGGGGAAGAGATGCAGTCATAGCAACTGAAAAGTAAGCAGGAGACTGTTAGAGAGCTACAACTGGAATTTCAATTTGCCTTCTGTGCCGGTAAGACCCCAAAGCCACCCTGAGATAGGGCAAAAGTAAAAATAGCTCTAGCTTTCAAGCGGATAGAATGGTGTTTGGGGCAGAGGGAATCTTAATGCTTGAATATTTGAACTAACATTTAGTCTTGTTGCTGTGGAATTTTGTCTATGTAGAGTAGCCTAATTCTATTCAATTGCAGTTTTTATCACCCCTAAAAAAATCAAATGTTTGAGTGCTGTAGTCATGAGTAGGCAATGGAGAATATTCCTTAAAGCTGTATGAACTGACAGAGATTGTGCAACTTAATTATAAACATTATTTTTTCCACTGAAAAAAGTTGAACTTGTATAAGTCTAAAGTAGTCCAAAATAATCTATTACCACCTTGTTTCCATTTTTATAATCCTATACTGGGAAATTTAAGTATTTTACCATCAATTGCAAAGAACAGGGATTCTGGCATTCCTTCTGGAAGTTTCAAATCGTTCATGACTTGCCAAGTATGAAGAGTTTTACTTGTGGTCTCCTGTCTCTGCGAGGACTATTGGAACCACCTAAACTGACCCAACAGACTCATGTTTATCCCACCTGCTGCAAAGCAGGCAAACAGTTTTCCCAAGCTGTTGCCTTGGAAGGGCGATTCAGTGTGCTGTTTCCAACAGGCTGCCCTTGGACGAGGAAGAAAGTTAAATCTTCTGTTGGAATGCAGAGGGAAAAGATACCCAGTCTGGTCTCCAGACCAGCTCCCGTTTTCTCTCAAACCAAAAGTGAAATAGGAGATTTTAGGGGGAGAAACCCCTTTTGAAAGCTGCAGGGCACTTGTTCTATACAAAATTCCAACAGGATAAATGTTAAATGTTAGTAGTCTTGCAAAAGATGAGGGAGAAAATAGAAGCATTAACCGTAGGCAAGTTGGAGAAGCTTAGCACTGGGTGGAAAACTCCCTGCTTCCAGAAGGCCAGCTAATGTGACACCTCTGGCAAACCTCAAAACCCAGCCTTCTTTTAATCTCAGCCAAGGAGATGGAACTTTTTCTTCTTAGAAGTGTAATTGCACCTAGGTCAGAAGAAGGACATGCAAGACTGCAAAGTGATGCAGTTCATGCTGTGTCATTTTGTCTGTCTTGTTAGCCAGAGCACTTTCCTCCTTATGGTTATGAAGATGCATATGCAGTCCTCAGAGGAGTCCAAAATTAGAAAATAAAATAAAAAAAATTGTGGAAAAAAAAGAAAATAAGACAAAATAAAAGATATTTCCTAAGGAACCTGAGGGAACTTAGTCCATTTCAGTAAGTTCCTAGGTATTTGGCAAACAGGCTGCTTGGGCACAGATGTTGAGATGACTATCAGATAAATTAGAAACAACTACTTTGCAGGTTTTGATTAAATATAGACTTAAACTGAGAATGAAATATGTGCTAATATAATATGCAGGCCGGTTTTAGTTTTGTCCTATTCTCAAGTACATTGATGCAGTTATTTAAGTAGGACTTTATAACTTAGTTGAGGGATTTTAGTCTCTGTTCATGCAATTAAGAAACATTCCCCATATTCCTATTGCATCCTTCTTTTTAATGATATTTTTTTCAGTAGTGGCAAGGATAGCTGTGGAGGTAAGGAACTGTCAAAAATGTTGCAGTAGGTAAATTTGGGGGAGATTTAAGCTGACCACAGTACGTTGGCTCTTAAGAATTCCCTGGTGTGAGGTGTCATCCTTGTGTTGTAGGCAATAGGTGTCAGATGGAGAAAGAGCTGAAATCTGTACTTTCTAAAGAAGGTAAATTTCTGTTCTTTGCCAAATGCCCATATTGCTCAGCTGTTCAAGTTCATGAGACAAATGCCCCAAGGTTATTCTGTGTTAGTTAAATCCTTGTTTTCTTCTGTCAGTCACCTTTAACAAGGAGCTGCAGGTACTGACTCTTGCTTTTTCATAATGATGAGGAAGGACTCTTTAAGATTCTTACTTAGTGGGTTTAGGGTTCTGATTTCCTAATAGCTCTCTGTGTGGCTTTTGTTACTACACACATCTTGCGCATCTTAATAATTTACTATTAAATAGTTGACGTATGAAGCTTTCCTCCTTCTCTCTTCTTTAAAAAAAAAAAGAAAAGAAAAAAGGTAATGCAGTTTTGCTGTCCTTATTCACTTGTGCTGGTAACAGTGGAGGTGCTTGAAGGTAGAACTGCAAAGCTGTACTTTTAACATGTTAAAGTCATCATACAACATTTCTCCACACTCCAGTCAGATACAGAATTCTCCAAACTGCATCTGCATTAATACTCTTTGTGCTACAACATTCACACGATGTTTATGGCGTTCCAGGATGAATTGGGATTCTGCCTGCTGTTTGAGGGCTCCCTTCTTCTCTCTGAAAACTTCCAAGGAAGTGGTTTTAACTCTTTCACTTTTTTTATACCTACAGAAAAGCATTTTAGGAAATGTCTCTATTAATGAAAATCAGCTGCAGGAGTCTTGCCAGGATGTAAGAGGCAGCTGAACTTCCTTCATAGACTGATCCACTTGTGCTTACTCATGGGGCCTTCCAAACAGTGCCTACACTTAGGGACCAGGGGTTGTACTATTAGATTAAGTAAGCAATGTATTAATAATTTAGGAAAATAGGAGGGGAATAATATAGCTGCATTCACTCCCCCAAAAGTTTGCACATGTGCTTAAAGAGATGCTTAACATTGGATGAAGGCAAACTGCTTAATTTATCCATTAAAAACTCAGTTGCAACAGGATTCACAAAGATCTAAAACCTTCCCAGTCTTCTCTTGCTGTACAGAGCTGGTGTATGAACACCATGTCATACAAAATTAAGAAATCTTAAGATTTCATGCATAGGCTACGGCAGTTACTGGAAGAAGTGCTATATGGTATGACACAAGGAAGTAATTTCAGTCTGTTACTTCTTTTGGGGGGGAGAAAAAAAAAGGAATCCATAAGAGAGACTGGGAGTGACTGTTCCCAGTTTTGTGGTATGTTAATTAATGTAGATAAAACGAACAAGCACTCAAGCAGTCTTTTGTCTGCAGAAAACATTACTGCCTGTTTGTTTTAACAGGACAGGGAACTGTTAAGTTTATTCGCCACATTTGCTACTTTATTTGCCTTTATTTGTGTAAGCTGAGCGAAAATTAGGAGTTTGCCCAGGGTCTTGAGCGTACCACAGCTGTGGCAGAAACTTAAGAGAAGTTAATAACTGTATTCAGGCTATGCAGCATGTAATGGGAAGCACATTGGCTTAGAAAATATTTGTTAGGCTTTGTAGATTTCTTGCTTGAAAAGTAAATTTGTACATGTTTTCCACAGGGTTATGAAGACTGGCTACGGCATAAAGCAGACAATGAAGTAAATGGTGCTCCCGTTTATGTTGTTCGAAGTGGTGGCCTTGTAAAAACTAGATCCAAAAACATTCGGGTATGTGCCTAAGGACAAACTGAAAATTGTGTTTCTATCACATAGCTAAAGCTCTGCTTTCATTGCTAATCATTGTGACCTGTTCCATCGTCACTTGGTAACTGCTGAAATGAATTCTTCTCTTTTAAAACTCCATTTGTACAGTTCTCATTTGTGTTCACTTCATTAGGTGGGGGACATTGTCAGAGTAGCCAAAGATGAGACTTTTCCTGTTGATCTGGTGCTCTTGTCATCTGATCGAGTCGACGGTTCGTGCCACGTTACTACAGCAAGTTTGGATGGAGAGACTAATCTTAAGGTCTGCGTTACTGTTATGAAGTAAAATGTTAGATAATTTACAATGACATTTTTATTTCAGCCCATTGAAATACACCTCCCTGCCCAGTAGTCCTATATCATTAACTTATTGGACATTGTTTTGCAGACACATGTTGCAGTCCCAGAAACAGCAGTGTTACAGTCTGTTGCCAACCTGGACAAACTTGTAGCTGTCATAGAATGTCAGCAGCCAGAAGCAGATCTATACAGGTATCACTTTGGTAGTAAATATTTTGAAATTAAATCAAATGGAGTGTTTAATATTAGGAAAGTTATGAGTCTTGCTGTGATTAAAATAGCTTCAGACATCTGCTTAAATTTTAGGTTTCAGTAATTAGCATAAGTGTTTACATATGTGCTTACTCAAAGTTGCAAGTAACAACTTAAAATTGAGTATTTCAGTAGTAAATCAGAAACTGTAGGATAATACTTTTGTATTTTGATTGTGACACTTACGCACATTTGTATTACAAAGAGTAAAGTTGTTTCCAGATTTAAATGAATTAAAAGACCTTTGCATCCGAGTAGGTTGGAGAAAGAATTGTTGGAGGTTCTGCTAGGAGATGTCAGTACGATATAGTTGTGGGGTTTTTTAATGAAATTAACTCAAACTCAAAGGTACAATTGCTATAGAAATTTACATCCCTATTTGTAGATGAGGCCATGCTAAATACATGTGTCAGATTTTAAAAGCAAAGTAAATTGACTGGATTAAATGAAAAATTCCCATTTCTGATGGATAATATGCTAACTTATATTTACTGAGGAATTATTTCTTACTGAAATGTCAAGAAGCAACAGTCTATTTTAACTGAATAAGAAATTTAATCTTTTGTGGTTTTATTAATGAAACCTAGTAGGCTTTCTCAAATGACTGTTTAATGAAGGATAAATGTTTCTTTTGTTAAATATCTCCTGTAAAATTATTGCTACTGGTGTCATTGTTTTAGTTTGATATTAAATGTTGATTATTTTGTACTTGTGAACCATTAATGACTTTTTTTTGTAAATACAGAGGAGCCTTTTACATTTTTAAGTCTATATATAGATATTTCTAACACATGGCTATCTTTCATAGATTTGTTGGAAGAATAACTGTAAGTCAACAAACTGAAGAAATTGTACGGTAAGTAGATTTTTATAAGATTAATGTTTAGAGGGGATTAAAATCCTGACCATCCCTAGAAAGAGTTGGTAACTTTGGTATTTATTATTTGAAACATTTATTGATCTTAAACATTTTCCATTTGCATATTATGTACACTGCAACAACCCCCTGTCTATCGGAGACACTGAGCAGGTGTTTTTGCAGTTGAAATTCCTAGAAATTATTGATCTGTTTTCACAAAGCCTCCGCTACAGATTTGTAGCTACTCTACTACCTGGACTGTAAAGATAAATGTTACATCTGTAATAGTCAACACATAATTGTGTGCACTTAAAGTTGTGTGCACTTAATCATGTGCTCACCTTTGCCTCTGCAGTCATGGCAAATGGCAGACACCATATGAAAATACAGAAATAAAGATGCAGTGCCACTTACAGACCTACATGGGGATTTCCTCAAAAGGTTGAGGAGCATTTAGTCCTTTTTAGTTCAATTTTTTAGTTAAAGTTGGAGTCTAACCTAAAACATTAACCTATGAGTGTGTAATTTAAAGAAGCTGTCATAATCTGTGCGTATAATTGGTACACATGGCATTTGTGATCAGTGTCACTGCAAATGTGGCAGTTGAGTTAAATGTTTAACTGTGGGAGGTGAGATGTGGGTTTAGGGGTTGTTTTGGAGTAACTCTGGCTTCTAAGGAATTTCAAGTAGAAGAGCTTTGTTTATAGGATAGTGATGAGAGCATTGGAACAGGCTACCCAGGGAGGTTGTGGAGTCTCTCTCTCTGGAGACATTCAAAACCCACCTGGACACGTTCCTGTGTGACCTACTGTAGGTGATCCTGCTCTGGCAGGGGGGCTGGACAAGATGATCTTTCGAGGTCCCTTTGAACCCCTGACATTGTGCGATTCTGTGATCACCAACTGCTTGTGGTACAGCTAACGGAAAAGTAAGACAGACCCAAGGGCTCGTATGCCGCGGCACTTAGTATCTGATCTTTAATTCTTTTGCTTTCACCCAGGAGTCAGTCTGACCACTGCAGTTGTTCAGTTTCTGCTGTCATTTGAAATACTGGCAAAAATAGTGAATGCACCTTTTTTTTAAAAAATTTTATTTTTATTTCAAACCAACCCTGCTGGCAGTTTATGAAGATGATGCATCTGCTAGAGTAGAACATACGGTTCTAACCTTGTATAAACCTTGATTCTAACTGGACCTTTCTTTTCACAGTGCTATTTACAGTTAACTTAGCCAATGTGTTATTGTGATGTGATAGATGCGAGGCAGAAAACATCGATGAAGTTCTACTCTTGTGTTAGGAAGCAGAGGTTGCAGGGTTGTGGTGGTGGTGGTGGGTCCATGTAGTCATTTGTCTTTGTTTCTCTGGTATGAATAGCTTTTGAACTTGCTAGATAATTTCAATTTGACAGAGGTAGAAGTGAAATAGTCTAAAATAGCACTCCTCTCACATGGTGAACTTGACAGGGTTTTTGCCTGCTGGTTTCTCAAGTACCTTGCAGGTCTCTCTGAACCAGCCATTTGGTATATTTAGCTCAGCCACTAATTATGGGATATTGAGTAGTGGTGGGAGAGTATCCCAGTGACCAGAGGAGACATGGGAGGAGACTGAAAGCTCTGTCACCATGCATGGGTAAAGTGTGGTAAAAGGAAGAAAAGGATTAAAGTTGGACTGAATGAGGGTGGGGTTGGAGTTGCGGTGGGGATGCAGAATATAGGGGGTTATAGGACTACTTTGCACAGGAAGCTAGATTTCATTAGTCATACAGAACAACTGTTTTTTAAATGCTCATATGTCTGTTTCTTTATAGACCTCTTGGGCCTGAAAGTCTCTTACTTCGTGGAGCAAGATTAAAAAACACTAAAGAAATATTTGGTTTGTAGACATTTAGATACTTAAAGAGTATTCATGTTGATGAACTGTGATTTAATTCTGCTTGTACTGAAGAAATTGTAATAATTTTGCTGACTGTTACCTGAGGGAATATGATCATAGATGAAAGGAATGATAATATGCTGAAGAACCTCTAAGGATATAAAATTCCAGCTCTGCACTAGGAAAATATTTGAAGTGGTTTGATAAAGAAGTGACTTAACTTCAATGGATAAATGACTGTTGTTACTGTTACCCATTATTCAAGACTTTCTCCAGAGATTTGCTATTCTGATTTCCATAAAATACATATTGAAGAGCAGTACAGTCATCATAATGAACAGTGTTTTAGTAGGTGTTAAAATTACTTCAGTAGTACTGTTTTACCAAAGCAGAATATTACAAATACTTAAGAAAATACAGTCTTACTGTTATACTGAAGTAAACACAAAAGTAATACCCTCTCTTGATTTTATCTTACATCTCTTAAAACAAAAAACTCTGTAAACTATATATGCAGAAAATAAAGTGTAACTTCCCCACTTCCCCTTTCCTTCCCAGGTGTTGCAGTGTATACAGGTATGGAGACAAAGATGGCATTAAATTACAAGAGTAAATCTCAGAAACGGTCAGCAGTAGAAAAGTATGTTTATTTTCTAATATCTTTCTTGTATGTAGAGTTTTAACTTAGTTTTTCCTTGGTATCTTTAAACCCCTCATGATCTCTTCATTGGGTTGTAGGTAAAGGAAGAGTGTAATTGCTTTGCCTTTAGTAGAAAACTATAAATATAAAATCCTTTTCTTGATATTTCATCCTTTATTGATTCTTTCAGTAGTGTACAAAGTTAAAATACCCAAGGTTAAAAAGGACCAAAGCAGAAAAAGTTAGTTCAGGAGGTTAGTTTTTGAGATGTGGAGACCATTAAATGACTCGTGAAATGCTGCTTGCACCAGGTGCTCAGAGAGAGTTTTCGTAGCAGTCCTAGCCTCTGCTCCTCTCTGCATCTTCATTGTAAAACTGCATCATGCCTTTACAGAGGATGGATTGAAATGAAGTCTTAATCGCTTACAGATCTTTGATTTGACTTGTAGTATTTGACATAATGGAAAACAACCTTTTTTCACATAGTCTAAAGCCTGTGCTTGTATGTTTTGGAGTGAATCTTGCTTCTAGCACAAGTGACAGGCTCAGTGTTAAAAATCTTTTCTCGTTTTTCTGGGATATATGTTACTATATTAGAGATTTATATGTTAAATCTCGTGAATTATTTTAAAAGGAAAAACAGTTCTGATATGTTAACTTTATTCCAGTTAGTAAAAATCTGAGATGACCTTCCAGCATTCTCTTGCAAACATGAGATTGATTTTTCTTCTATAGTCAGATACAAGCAAAACTGTAGAGCGCACAAGAAAGGTTCAGTCATCAAAGCAAGGGGAGGACAGATGGACTGGCTAGCATTACAGAATATAGGGGCAAGTTTGACTATATCCTGGTATAGCGTGGCCTGGCTGACATCAGCTGCAAGTAGTAGTGCATCTACCTGAAAAAAAAAAGGAAGAGCCTTGGGTTTCCACTGTGTTTGGTTGTACTGGCTTCACAGCCTTAGCTTAGATACTCAAAGCAGAAGAGATGGACAAGGCAGCCCCAGACAAGAGTGACAAGAAGTCAGCTGGAGGATTCTTTCATCTTAATCTGGTCTTTATATTGCTCTATGTAGAGTGTGTATTAGTCAGATGCAGGATTTCTTTTCACATCTGTTGCTTGCTTGTCACATTAAAATTTATCCGTAACAAACACAGGGTACTTTTTTTTAAAAAAAATTGTTCAATAGGTTTTTGCTCAATTCGTGTAACTTCAGTGTGTCAACAGATTAGGTAAAATAAACTCAAGTTACTGAAGTTGCTTTTTATTCCTCTTCCTCTTTGTAGGTCCATGAATTCCTTTTTGATTATTTATCTAATAATCCTCCTCTTTGAAGCCATTCTGAGCACTATTTTAAAGTATGCATGGCAAGCTGAAGAAAAATGGGATGAGCCTTGGTATAATGGAAAAACAGAACATGAAAGAAACAGCAGTAAGGTAATCAATTCTGCCCAACTATGTATCTGGGGAACCCACCACTATATACTGAACGTGGTATTTATCATGTCTCTATTCTTGGATATAGATGTAGCTACCACATGATCCACTTGCAAGTCTACTGGGCTGTTGTCTCTGATTTTGAGAGTACTCAACCTATGTAGCTTCACCTTTGTGTGGAAATACCTTACCTCGCTTACTAGTTGGACTTCCTTGACAAAAAGATCAAGCTTTTTGAAAATTAGGACGTATTTCTGATGGTCTCTGTTCTTATTATAGTTATTGTTCTTTGATGTCTTTTGTCATTCCTTAAAGGAAAAGAGGAGGGTGACTGTTCTTGTGCACGTTCCATGGCAGTGATTTCACAGTTCGGGCATTTTGGACATTTGTGATGCTAAGACTGTTCAGACAATTTTGTAAGGCTGTCATTTTGCGCAAGCTTCTGCTTGGCTTCTCACTTTTCTGTAGAGGTTGGAGGGAGACTTTGAAATGTTCCTCAGATCTGCAGCTCAGAGAAGTGTCTTTTTTAAGTTGTTCTGTATTTTTCTGTTTTCCATTTATTTTTTGATTTCTCTATGGTCTGCCTTCTTCCAGTGCAGTTCAGAAGCTGGCTGAAGCTGATTCTAAGTAATAGAGGGGATTTTCAAAGCACAGAAGAATTGGAAATCCAGTTTCCACATGTGATGTGGTGTCAGATGTTTAACACCCCCACGCACCCTCCCCACCTCGCAGGGAGTCGAGAATTGGATGTGCTCCCTAAGTGCCATGTGTGCAAAAAGGTCCAAAGCCAAGTCAGGAGAGATCTCTTCTCCTTCACAAGTAGGGTGAAATTTACAGTTGGTACATAGTGGTTCAGGAAGGGAAAAGAAGTAATTTGAGAATGTCTTTGATTCAAGGAGAGTCAAGAGTTTACTGGCCTTTCAGTAGAACATGCAACTTTCTCAGAAGCTTACGTGTTTTTGCAGTTCAGCTGCAAAAATATCTTTTATCTCAGTGCAGCATTTCATTTAAAATTATTAATTCAGGTTATCACTTGAGCTACCAAAACTTTTCAGTGTATTCTAAATATTAAGTGAATTTAAAAGGTTTCAAATTGTTAAGTGACCTATTTTTAGTACCTGCACCCACTTAACACACTTTCAACTATTTGGTCAGCCAAGTATATTCTTGGCTTCACTTAGTTTGAAGTAGTTGCTGTGTAAGTTAGAGTAGCCTGTGGAACCCTTTCAGTTCTGAATAGAATCAGGATAAGTATCTCAATCTTTCCATTCCCTTACCTTTGCCTTCAGGAGCATGCAGAGCCATCTGTGTTTCTGCAGTGTCACTTCCCTTCTATCTTGTCTCTGGTTTTCTCTCTCCCTTGTTTACTTTCACAATCTGCTTTGCATTTCTCAATATGCTGACATCCTTCCTTGGAGTCCCTGCTTCGTTCATCCATCCTGTGCTGTGCAGATTGTTATTTAACAGACAGTGCTTGAATAAACTTGCTAACCTTAGTAATTGTCACATCTCAGTATATCTTCTCTTACAGGAATTCCTGCTCTTAGTCTTCATCTGTCTTCTCTGGTTTAGTTTGGAAGATGTCTTAAGGCACAGAACTTACTGAGGGTTTTTTCCAGATACCTTGATTATTGGTACTGACTTTTAAGTAATTATAGCAACGATCCCTAATTAAGAAGAACAGGCGCTGTTTAGCTTTACAGACTGTTGGCTGCTTTTATACTCCCTTTCTTCAAAATGTTCTCCTACACCAATGTCTGGTAGAGTTGAAAGAGATGTCCTAGTTTTTCTTGTCTCTAATCTCCCATGCTCAAAATTTAGGTGTTGGTAAGAACCCTTCCAAAGTACAATTTAGATAAAGAGTTTGTTGTTCAAATGAAAAAGAGACTTCGAAGAGACTGTAACGTTGCATTTCAGAGTTTGTTGAAGTTGTCGTGCTTAATAAAGAGCAATTTCTCTCATGTTATATAGCTGTTTACCTGAAATCTGTGTTGAACGCAATGGTTTGAAGCCTGTGCCATTGCAATCCACACAGTCCCTTTCTTGTCACATGGTTTGGATTCCCTGTGTCCCTGGGGACAGGAACCCACTTGTCTCCTCTGCCTTCTCCATTTATGGCTCCTTATAAAAGCCTGTGAATGGGGCTATTTGATGCAATGGGGAACATGTTCGCTTCTTCAGACCCAACTCATTCAAGAGACCTGTTTGAAAGCAGAATCACCAGGGTATTTAGTATTACTTGGCAGCCCTCCTGATGGATTCAGTAGGAAGGAGAAAAATGATGGAACTTGAGAATTGAAACACCCAGTTATAGCTTCAGGGAGTCTTTTTCATCCGTCTGAAGGTGCACTACTGGGGCATTACCTGCGTTGTCCCTCTTGTGTATGTGGGACTTGGTCTCCTCCGGCTCTGTCAATTCATCATTTTTCACATACATTGAAACATAACGAAATAACCATGTTTCATGTGATCGCTGCAGTAACCTTTACTTTTTCTATTTCTCTTGTAGATTCTGAGATTTATTTCAGATTTTCTTGCTTTTCTGGTACTTTACAATTTTATCATACCTATTTCACTTTATGTGACTGTTGAGATGCAGAAATTTCTTGGATCTTTTTTTATTGGCTGGGATCTTGACCTCTATCACAAAGAAACAAACCAGAGAGCGCAAGTAAATACTTCAGACCTCAATGAGGAATTGGGACAGGTAGAGTAAAAAATTATGTTGTTTCTGGGGTTTTTTTGCCCTCTATTTTCCTCTTATTTTTTAATATTAATATTCATTACTACAGACTTTTCATTGCTATTGCTTTGTTTTCTGATAAATTTAAAAATAAGGTAAAAATAATCTGATGGCAGAAATTAAAATTTTAACGTGATCACATAAAGTGCATAGTGGAGAGTGTGCGTTTTTTCTTTTCTTCTAGCAAATACATGCAACTCTAAGTCGGTCTTTGTTTTATTTTCTAAAAGGTAGAGTATGTGTTTACAGACAAAACCGGTACATTAACTGAAAATGAGATGCAGTTTCGGGAGTGCTCCATTAATGGTGTAAAGTACCAAGAGGTCAATGGTAAACTAACTCCGGAAGGGTTTTCTGAAGATTCCCCAGATGGAAATAGGCATAGCTTGGTAAGATTTTTTTTTATTTTTTTTTTTACTCCCATTAGGCATCTCAGATAGAAAATGTGTTATTTCAGAGAGAGAATTTTCTGTTGTTAGTACTTTTTAAAAAGAAAAATCAGAATTTCTGAATACTTTGAAACTATTGTTAAGGAACAGATAATATTTATTAAGCGTGTTGAGTTATAATTATTTAACATGGAATACTTGGCAGATAGGTAAGTAAAAACATTTTTAATTAACGACATTCAAAACTGGGTTGCTATGTAAGTGTTACAAATGAAGTTTTTTTTCCTTTCTTACAGATGAAAGAGGAAGAACTCTTCTTGAAAGCAGTTTGTCTTTGTCATACAGTGCAGATCAATGCAGATCAAACAGATGGTGCTGATGGTCCCTGGCATGCCAACGGAATAACATCCCCGTTGGAGTATTATGCTTCTTCACCAGATGAGAAAGCTTTAGTTGAAGCTGCAAGCCGGTGAGTTGTACCACCAAAACTGTCTAATGTCGAAGTTGCCTATTTAAGGCAGGCAAATCATGGTAAAAACAACCTTAAAAATGACTCAGAAAGATTATAAAGCCCAGGGCCTGGCACTGTCAGTTTACTGTGGAAACCTGCAGAAATAAAGTACACGAAGGCCTAGGCTTATTATAATGTGATGGGTTAAAATATGTTTAGAAATCATTGAGAAAATACAGTGTACAGAATATATTGCTATTAAAAGAGTGCAGAAGTTGGGCATTTTTCATTTTCCCTAGAAAGAGAGAGCGGCAATGGGGGTGTAGGAGTCTCCCTCTTTCCTTTCCTTTTCTTTCCCCCACCCCCCCAATAATCAGTAGGCATTACGGCTGAAGTGAACGGTTAAATGCATATTTTTTTTTCCTTTTAGGGTTGGAGTAGTATTTACTGGAACTAGTGGGGACAGTATGGAAGTAAAAAGTCTCGGAAAACCAGAAAGGTATTTGTTTTTATTCTTTGCTTCTTTTGAAGGACAGGACAGTAGTGAAGACTAATAAAATGTTCTCCTCTTAATCCTCTCTGTTCGTAAGAAAACCTTGCCTTTTAACACTTTTCCTCTGATGTCTTTAAGACAGTTTGCATCTTATTCCTTACCAACTGAAACTGAGATGCAAGAATTTTGTGTGAGTTACTCTGTGTAGGTGTGCATTATAGCAGTTTGTATCTTTGCCCATTCCTCAAAGGTTGAGACTGTAGTAAAGCTGGAAAACTGGATTGCTTATTCAACTCTTGCAGTTTGTGATTTGAGCTCTAGAAGTTCCCAGAATCAATCTCATGTATGCATAATCTAACTACATATTTTAAATCTTCCCAAAATGAGTAGAATTATTATTGATAACTGTACGTCTGTGGTATGTCATCACACCTTTTATCCCTTTCATCTGTGTCAGTTGTCAGCACTTTAAACTTACATGTCTAAAATTACATTTCTAAACTAATGGTAACAACCAAAAAATAGTTCAGTTTTCAGGGAACACACTCCTTTTTTGATTGTGTAGGTTGTTTACAAATGTTGGAAATAAAATGTAGTTTTCAAAGTTAAACTTGAAGTAGCGATAGAGGAATAAAGGAATGGGTAGGAACTGACTGTAGTCTCCAAATGCAGAGCTAGTGTTCAGGAAACTATTCCTATTGGTAGAAGAACCCTTTTATTCTTGTGGAATGGAATTATATATATATATATATGTATATATT